TCCCCGTGAACGCCGGGTCCAGACAGCGGGCACAGAAGGCAGGGCTTCCCTCACACCCCAACCTGAGGCCAGCTCCTGGGCAGCCCCAGCAGACGGAGCCTCAGGGAGCAGGGCGTTTGTGACTAAACCAAAGGGCTATCTGGAGGCTGTGACCCTACGTTCTTCTCTTACACAGGGACTCGGACAGGGGAACTTACTGAGAGGTCAACAACAGTCTTGACGGCCTTTTCTTTTCTCTTGAGGAAGTCATCATCCTGTAAGACAAAACAAGGAATAAACAAATCTTGTACGAAGACTGAAACGCACTGGACTGCTCAGACGTCTGCCTCTAAACCGACTTCCCGTCACTACCTCACCTGAACCAGTCTCAGTTTTCTAACAAACTGGAATACATTCTGCACAGGAAAAAGCTACCGCCTCTGCAGCTGGCTCCAAAACAGAGCTCTATAGTCAGAGAGAAAAACGGGGACCACTGAGTGCAGTGGTGACGACAAGTATTCTCATTAGAAATCCTTACGAGCGCGGAAGCCTCAGGCAAGTTACCTAGCCTCTGAGCCTCAGTCTCTCCATCTGTAAAACAGGGACAGAAACACCTATCTCAGGGGGCCGTCACGAGGATAAAGAGTAGAAGGCAGGTGATGTGCTGGGGCTAGAATGTAGTAAGCATTTCATAGTGATGAGCTATTATTGTTGTTTTGATTACCTTTCAACTGTTCCTCTAAGAATGTTCTAGGCAAGTGGTCTCTTGAGAAGCTTTATATGACTATACAAAAATATACTCATGTTCCTGTAATTTAATAAAAGTTCTGGATCAAGTACCAAAACTGACAGAAAAGGACAAAACTCTAGGGCTTTCCACTCAGTGCCCATTTAAAGAGGCAGTTCTAGAGACCCAGGAGGCCCAGTCTCAGTGCTGCCCAGGCAGAGGCAGACATGCCACACAGGGGGTGGGAGCGCAGGGCAGCCTGCACTCACTCTGCTCCTTCTAAGTGTGCACCCATGCTCTCAGCTGGACAAGAAAAGAAAGTGAGAACACTGACCTCAGGGAGACTGTAGGTCTTCTGGAACTGGGACACAGAGTAGGAGCGGATGTAGTCACCCATCTCTTCTTTTGTTTCTATAGCTCACTTCACCAGCCACTGCAGAAGAAAGTTAGGAAACGTGAGCCGATGGGGTGAAACACCACTGCGGTGAAGGCCAACTCAGAGATGGCACCACTCGTGAACCCAAATCACTGTCCTTGAACCGACCAAGTGACGACAAGCTATCAACACACACTGTCCTATAGGAAAAGCAACTGGCTTAGCGTCTGAGATGCTAAGATCCAGTGGGACCTAGAGCTGAGCAGCTGTGCAGGAGGAGCCTCACTTCAGAGCCTCAGGCCTCAGTTTCCCTCTCCATGTAAAGTGAAACTGAGAACGTCAGTTCCTTTCACCTCACAGAGCTACTGTGGGAGCAAATGAAACCACATGTACTAGAGTGCTTTGTAAATACCCGAAACATAACACAAATGCAGCTATCCCCACAACCTCCTGGTTATAGCGATCGATCTCAACGTCATTCTTTTTCCTGCTTCTTGCACCACAGACCAGAGAAAGGGGAAGAACCAGAGAGAACACCTAGTATAACCCTGAACTGGGAGATGAAAAAACATCCCCAAAATATTCAGATGTGAGAACAGGGTGTACTGAGTACACAGCCTTGGGCTTCGGGTTAGCTTGGCACTCACAACATTCTCTCTCTCAGTCCACACAATGCTACAAGGTGGCTGGTACTGGCCGTGGTGACAGAACCTAAAGCTCAGAGAGACTACGTAATTTGCCCATTGATCCACAGCTAGCAAACCACAAAGCTGGGCGTCACAACTCACAGGCTCTTCCACACCAAAAGGCTGGACATATGGGCTTCATTAAATGTTTCCCAGCTCTTTTGGCTGATGTGCAAAAGGAGGTGTTTCTCCCTACCTAAAACTCCAGTTCATTAAAACACACACATGCACACACCCACACCCCATAACCTGTGGAAGATGCCGGTGCTCTGAGGGTAAGAACGCAAAGTCAAATAAGAGCCTTTGTTGTCCTCCCCTGGCTCTTCATTCAATTCCTGTACTACTGAAGAGCATTATGGAGGGGGTGCCATCTGTCAGGCTTGCCATTCTCTCTCCAGAGAGAGCCACTACATCTCCAAAGCAGTTTTTGGACAGTAGTTGTGTTTCCCCAAGAGCACAGCCACACGTGGCAAGGTTTAGCTGCCTAGGAAAGTAGACACGTGGCATGCTGCATGGTGCTCCCACAGGGACAGGAAGAAATGCTTGATCATGGAGGGCAGCCAGCTCCAGGAAAGGACACGTTTAGGAAGTAGCTGCCCAGGATAGGGGCGGCTGAGAATATCTATATAAGGAACATTCTTTTGTTGTCAGCATCTTCCATTTATTTCCATCACTCCACTCCACCCCATCTCCAAACAACCACCTCAGGAACGGACAAAGCCAGAAGCAGGGGCAGAGGATGAGACCACACTCAGAACTACGGTAGCTCCTAACTCGCACCCCCACCCCAGCACCACAGCCCCAGACAACTAAGGAGGCTGACACTTGCTCAAGCCAATTTGTCTCTGCTTTGCTTTGGATCCAGAGATCCAGTTTCTGGCCTTTCATATTGTTTCCTTTTCCATTAATCAGATCTACCCAGAATTATCACTTGGTGGGATGCCGGAGAGTGTGATCAGATAAGGAAGGCAAAGCATGTTGAGTCATAGGATTCCCACAGACAATCCAATACTGTTTTGGAGTTCCCAGCATGAAGTGCTATGGAGGGAACCTCTTGGACAGCCAAGCTCTGCCACAGCTCCCTGGCATTCGAGAAAAATAGCTACCCTCACAGGATCACATCCCACATGGGAAAAAAAGATGTGACCTAGAATACCAATGGCTGGAAGTTAGACCCGTTTTTCTCCCGGCTGGCATTCGGAGTGTGTTACTATAGCTTTGTAAACGGTGTGAACATGGGGGATGAGTCTCGAGCCCGGCACAAGACGACAAGTTCAATGGTTCCCAACTGCTGGTCCGTGACTATCCTTGCACTGGTCTCCAGCAAAACAGGAAAAAACTAGAGGCATGTGGTAAGCTTTTCAGGATGCTAAATGTATTCAATTTGAAGGACTGTCCTTTATTTTAAGATTGGGAGTTAAATGGCTTTTTAGGAAATGATAGAGAAACTAAGAGCAGTTACTTTTAAAAAGGCCCTTGCCTGGCAAAAGACAGATGGCAACCGTAGGTCAACCTCCATTTTTGCTTTAAAATTTTACTGGTCCATGACATTAAGAAATCTGGTAACCAGCAGCCTAGGCTCTCACATCCAGACAGGAAGCCCCCCAGCATTCAACTCACAACACGGAACATTCACAGACACTCAAAATGCCCAAACCAAATGCAGAAGATCACTTCCTTTTCACCCTCTCCTCATATCTAGACTAGATTCTTTGCCCTCAGAGTTCTAGCATGGGGCTGAGGAAGGTCTAATCACTAGAGATCCAGGCTTTGGGGGAAAAGGCAACAACTTCACAGAATGACAGTGTTGGAGGTTTTAGGAATAACACAGGGGCCCTACTTCCTAGTTTCACAAAAAGGATCAGGTACCGTCCCTCTGCATCAGACAAAAAGTCTAACAAAGACACAAATCAAATTCTGAGTTAAAGTCTGGAAATATTTTGCTGTGTACACAAACAACTTCTGGGATCCTTTGTTCCTTTGGTTTGTCGTTTTCTAGAGCTCATCCCATACCGTAGTAGGAAAATCATTGGCGCAGGAGTCTGGAGCCCAGAAGTTTAGTACTGGCTCAGTTACTGATAAGGAAGAAGGATGAGATTAACATTATTGAGGGCCTGTGCCGGGTTGACCTCTTTTGGCCTTTGGCTCTTTGTCTGTAAAGTCAAGAGTTTAGGCTAGCATGAGTTGTTCCTAACCAGAGATGTCCAGGAGTTACTTGAGTGGTTTGGTTTGAGATTTTTGTTTGTTAAAATGTTGAGGCCCAGCACCAGATGTGCTCAATCAGAATGGCAAAGGCTCTGGCAGTGGTTCTCAGCCAGGGCAGTTTTGCCTCCCAGGTAGGGTGACCAGCTCATCCCAGTTTACCCAGGATTTGACCAGTTTTAACACTGAAGGTCCTGCATCCCATAAATCCCACCTCTGTCCCAGGTGGCCTGTGAGGATTGGCCGCATATTTTGGTTGTCAGAACTGGGGCCAGGCTACTGGCATTTAGTGGGTGGAGGTCAGGGATGTTGCAGAACATCCCATAATGCGTAGGACAGCCTCTCACAACAGAGAATTATCCAGCCCACGATGTCCATAGTGCCCAGGTTGGCAAGACCTGGGTTATAGCCAGGGTGTGTGTGGGCTGGGGAGCTCACGGGTCATTCTGATGCCTTCACCTGCTGCAGGTCCACAGCACACTTGCTGTGTGGGTTCACTCTAACAGCTTCTGTCTGCACCTGACTCTTCTCAGTTGTCTCTTTAGAGTTAAATTAACAACTCTTTCAATTGACTTCAAATTCAGTTGTTATTATACTAAATGTTTTCACTTTTTATTTCAAATTTCTTAAACATTTCGTTTTTCTCTGCACTCTCTCCCAACCTGACCAGCCTTGCCATTTTCATTTCATACAAGTTCCTTCATTGTACGTCCTCTCCGCCCCTTCTTATTCTGTCACAGTTTAGGCTCTGGGCTATAAGGTACACCGCCGTCAGCGGTGGAGAAACTTCAGAAGTGTAGGGTCGTCGTCTTTATATATAGAAATGGTTGGGGATTTGGCTTTTCTGACTGGAGGAAGCTCTTCTAAGCTTGACTCCAACCCAGTGGTGCCTTTAGCCAGCAAAACTAACTTAGGCAATTATAGCAGTATTACCTGATAAAAAAGGGGGTAAACTTGCTCATGATAAACTGTCTTCTGTTTAGGAGCCTTCGAGGATACTTCATTTGCTTCTCTGACTAGTCTTGTCAATGAGAACACTCTAAAGGCAATAAAAGAAATGGGCTGTACAAACATGACCGAGATTCAGCATAAAAGCATCAGACTGCTTCTGGAAGGCAGGTATGATCCACATGGATGTTTGGGCTTTAATCTGTTTTCAGTGCCAGTAGTTCAGAAAGGAAATACCAGTATGTTCGGTTGATTTTGCACTGTGTGTTGGCTTATGTATCCAACCTGCTTTAAAGACTTATTTGCTGATGTTTGAAGAAAAGCGTTCCCTTCTGTTGTATAGCATGGTTCTTATTTCTGAGTTGGGTATCTGACGCAGGTGATTGCTTTCAGCGATGGAGAAGGTGGGGACTTGGTCTTTTGTTACTCATGTTCTGGCATTGATGCCCAAACCATATGTGGTAGTGACATGATAGGTATTCAGTACGTGACTTGTTGAATGAGTAGACTAAGTGTCTCTGACCTTTCCTGTCTTAATCCTTAGGGATCTTCTAGCAGCTGCAAAAACAGGCAGTGGCAAAACCCTGGCATTTCTCGTCCCTGCGGTTGAACTCATTGTTAAGTTAAAGTTCATGCCCAGAAATGGTAAGTCTGTGATCCACTGTCTTTGCGGTACCTCACTAGATTTATTGTAGCGGGTACGCGCTCTTGGTGATAACTGCAGGCTGACTTTCACCGCGTGTCATTGTTGCCTTTGTAGGAACAGGAGTCCTTATTCTCTCACCTACGAGGGAGCTGGCCATGCAGACTTTTGGTGTTCTTAAGGAGCTAATGACACACCATATCCATACGTATGGGTTAACAATGGGGGGCAGTAACAGATCTGCTGAAGCGCAGAAACTAGCTAACGGGATCAACATTATTGTGGCCACACCAGGCCGTCTCCTGGACCACATGCAGGTAAGAGAACACTGTTGTGTAGTCCCTGTCTTACTGTCTTGTGTGAAACCTCAACCTGACAGCTAACAGTTTTTCTTTGTCTTGTTAGAATACCCCAGGGTTTATGTATAAAAACCTGCAGTGTCTGGTTATTGATGAGGCTGACCGTATCTTGGATGTTGGGTTTGAAGAGGAATTAAAGCAAATTATTAAACTTCTGCCGAGTAAGTAGGTGGCATCTGCATGTGGTTTGCAAAGTAGTTGGAAGTAGGTGAGGGTTGTTCCTATATGAAAACTGCTAATACCAGAATTCTAACATAGCCGAGTGAGCTTGTGCCAATCAACCTTAGAGGTTGTCTGCAATGCAGCATCAAGCTTACTAGTAACTTGTTACAGTGGTTTTGCCGTTTTAGAGGTTATAATGCAAGTTACACAGTCCTTACACGTCATTCCAGTCCACATCCGCAACCCCATCTTCCTTTCCTTACCTCATTCTAGCGTCTCCCAGGTGGCAGTAGACTTGTGGCCTTCTGTGTTGTATTTGAGTTGTACATATCTTGGTTATAGTACTTGCAACATTGTAAGCTGCTCATATCTATAATAAGGCCATAATCTCCTTCATTAGAGAGTTTGTTTTTAATGCTTTGTTGAGGTATAATTGACATAATCTGCACATATTTTAAGTAAACAATTTGTTTTGTCACGTTTATACCTGTGAAGCCATCACCACAATCAAACAGTGAGCATCTCCGTAACCCTCAAGCTTCTTTGTGCACATTTGTAATCCCTCCCTCTCACCTTCAGTAAGAACAGCCCTCACCTGCTTCCAACGACTGCTCACACACGTCTGCCTCCCAGGTGACGTTGATCTGCCTTCTGTCACCGTAGATCAGTGTGTGTTTTCTAGAGATTTGTATGCATGGAATCATACAGTATAAATTTGTCTGCTCAGCAAATTCTTTTGCAAGTCATCCATGCTGTTAATATGTATCAGTAGTTCTTTATTCCTCAGTTGCATTCCATTGTGTAAATGTACCGCAGCTTGTTTATCCATTCACCTGTTGATGGATGATTGTGCTGTTTACGGGTTTTGGTTATTACAAATAAAGTTGCTGTGAACATTCATCTACAACTCTTACTATGGGCATACATTTCCTTTTTTCTTGGGTAACTACCTAGGAGAGGAGTGTTTGGTGTATGTTTAGCTTGTACCGTTTTGCTTTCTCATGAGAGTTCCATTTCCTTCTATTAAGTCTTGAAATTGGGTGGTGTTAACCCCCACCTTTGTTCTTTTTCAGACTGTTTTGGCTATTCTTGTTCTTTGCATTTCTGTATCAATTTTAGAGTCAGTTTGTCAATTTCTACCCCCTAAAAAATCTGGCATCTTGGTTGGGATTGTGTTGAATATAGATCATTGGTGGAAGGCGATACTGAGTCATTCAAACCCATGAATAAGGTATACCTCCATTTATTAGCTCTTCAATTTCTCTCATCAGTGTTTTAGAGTTTTCAGCGCACAGGTTTTTTCACATCTTTTGCCAGATTTATCCCTAAGTATTTTATTAAAATTTTAAATTGTTCATTGCTTGTATATACAAATACAGTTAATTTTTTAATTTTGACCCTTTATCTGGCAAGATAATTATTACTATACTCAATGGGATTGTTCAGTATGACCTTCCAGATGAAGCTAGACTTTGAGTTTTCTACCTAGGCAAACATACCACCTACATGTAAAAAAATAAAATTCTTCACTTACTTTTTTTCTTGCCTGACTGCACTGGCCAGCATCTCCAGTACAATACTGAATAGAAATGGTGAGAGAAGACATCTTGTCTTCTTCCTGATCTTAAGGGGAAGGCGTTCAGTCTTTCACCATTAAGTAGGATGTTTGCCATAGATTTTTTTGTAGCTGCACTTTATCATATTGAGCATGATCCCTTCTGTTTCTAGTTTGCTGAGATTTTTTAATCAGAAATAAATGTTAAATTTTGTCAAATACTTTTTCTGTGTCCTTTGAAACTGTCAAATGTTATTTCTTTAGTTTGTTAATATGGTAAATGATATTGGTTAACTTTCAAATGTTGAACCAACCCTGCATTCCTGGAAAAACCCCACTTGGTTATGATGCATTATCCTTTTTTATATATTGAGTCAATGTGCTGAAATTTTGCATCCATGCTTATGAACCGTCGTTGGGTTTGGGATCAGGGTAGTGACTGACTTCAAAACATGAGCCGGGAAGTAGACTCTCTTCAGTGTCCTGCAGAGTTTGTGAAGAATTGGTAATATTTCTTCCTTAAATGTTCGATAGACTTCACCAGAGGAGGCTGTTGGGGCTGGAGTTTTCTTTATGTGAAGATTTGGGGTACAATTTCTTTAATAGATAGAGGCTGTCCACGTTTTCTCTTTCTCTTGAGTGGCCTTTAGCAGTTTGTCTGTCAGGGAAATTGTCCACCATCTAAGTTGTCAAGGTTGTAGACAGAGATGTTCATGATGTTCTCCTCTTAATGTCAATAGTGCTGTCATGTCCCCGTTGTTCAGAGTTCTACTTGGAGCATTTGTAGGTGTGAAGCAATTCTGAAGATTTCCTGAAAGATTTGTGTTACCTTTATTTGCATCTGTTTCAGCACGCAGACAGACCATGCTCTTTTCTGCCACACAAACTCGAAAAGTTGAAGACCTGGCAAGGATTTCTCTGAAAAAGGAGCCATTGTATGTTGGCGTTGATGATGATAAAGCTAATGCAACAGTAGATGGTCTTGAGCAGGTAATTTGTGTCAATATCTTAAATTTTAAGGATCTTCCTTGGTGTTTCCTTGTAACTGTTTGGAGGATCATCCAAAAAGCAGAAGGATTAATTAACTTTTAATTCGAATATAGTAAACTTGGTATTGGGTCTCTGGCTCTTTCATATAAACTATCTTGAACTCTGAATAATTTGCTCGGCTCTCTTTACTCTGTCTCTCAATATGGCTTGCCACGTAGGAGGTTATTAATCACTACCAATTGTAGATGCAGTAAAAAAAATTTGTTTATTAATCTCTTGCTTGGAGACGCAAAGTGAGTTAGAAGATGGAGAGACTGGTTTCACCCACGTAGCTTTAGCAGATTGGAAATGAGATGACAAAGATCTAAACTAGGTTGATTAAAAATAGAACTTTAAAGGGGCTGGCCCTGTGGCCGAGTGGTTAACCTTCTGTGTGCTCTGCTTCAGCGGCCTGGGTTCACGGGTTCAGATCCCAGGCGCGGACCTACACTGCTGGTCAGCCATGTGGAGGCATTCCAGATACAAAATAGTAGAAGATTGGCACAGGTGTTAGCTCAGGGTGAATCTTCCTCATGAAAAAAAATAGAACTTGAAGATTGAATCTTTTGTTGAATAAAATATTTTGCTGTAACAATTTAGCTTAAAAACCTTTCATTTGTTGTCTAATTTTTAAAAATATATTCACACAGCCTTGTTACCTTGTTTGGGACGGTGCACTTAAGCTGTGGTTATTTGAGATCTTGCTGTTAAAAACCTTTTTAGAAAAATGAATCATTGATACGCCTTGAGGGTTCTAATTAATAGGGGTGTTAATATATTACGGTTGCAAGAACTGTTGATAACCAGTAATCTCGGGAATATGAAAAGTACTTAGTATCCACTGTTCGCAGCCAGTAAAAGGAATCGAAAGAGCTGAAATTAGTCTTATGTTAGGAATGCTTGTTAGAATGAAGGCAGTGGTTTTGTTATAGGTAAGGCATAACAGTGTGTACGATACTTACCTTCTGTGCTCGCCATCAAATTATGTTGGTTCATGAAGCTGCAAATGTCCATTTGCTTATTTCGTATCTCCTCGTTTGAACCACTTCTAGGGGTACGTTCTTTGTCCCTCTGAGAAGAGGTTCCTCCTGCTCTTTACATTCCTTAATTAGAACCGGAAGAAGAAACTAATGGTCTTCTTTTCTTCCTGTAAGTCTGTGAAATACCACTACGAATTGCTGAACTACATCGATTTGCCTGTCTTGGCCATTCATGTAAGTGATCACGATGAGTTTATTGAAAATAGGCTATGCTTATCAAGTTATATAGGTGGTGGGGTTTAAGCTATTGCTCTCTCCTCTAAACATAGTTCCAAGTAGTTTGCTCAGCATTGGGTGATTGATCCTATGTGGAGGGAGCTTTGCTCGGTGTGGAGGGGTGAGGACCACACAGGAGTAAGAGACGCCGTCCACTTGGGGAAATAGGACGTAGGCCAGAGAGTGCACTTGAAAGAAAGCAGGTTAACAACGCCACAGTCTGGGCGTCTACATCTGGCCTCCCGGACACAGCCTCCAGTCTCCAGCTCTGATGGATGTTGTGATTGGATTCTAGGGAAAGCAGAAGCAAAACAAGTGGACCACCACGTTCTTCCAGTTCTGCAATGCGGATTCAGGCATATTGTTGTGCACAGACGTGGCCGCTAGAGGGCTGGATATTCCTGAAGTCGACTGGATTGTGCAGTATGACCCTCCGGATGACCCCAAGGTAACTGGCATCCTTGGGGTTTCTCCAGAGTGGCTCTCACTAAGGACTGTGCTTACTCTCCACGCTCTCTGAGGAATGGCACATTTCACATTGAGAGGTGTCTCCCTTGGTCGTTCGGTCATGTTTTACTGTGCAGCCATTGCCACGTTTCTCTGCTGCTGATAATATTTAGGGCGCTTGCAGGACTCAAAACGGGTGTGCACAGAGATGTGAGAGGCGTCAGTGGGACTTCACTTAGGAACGTTACAGGCTTGGAATGATGTGTTAGGAGCAGTAGGTGTCAGAAGGAAATACAGTTTGCTTACAGAGATAGGTAAGATTCTGTAGCATATGTGGTAAAATAAGTTACATTAAGTATTTTAAACAAACAATAGAGTATGTAAATTATCAGCCAGCATTTAAACACGTTTGAAAAAGCCATTTTGAAGATGAAGCACACTTAGTAGTCATTTTATCAGATCATAGAGTTAATGTGAGTGTCGTGTCCAGCTTTCCTTCGGCCTCGGTCATTGCCCTGTTACCTTTTGGGGATGGTGCAAGCGGAAGGAATGGTGGGCCAGCTTTGGGGAACGTGGTGATGGTCTGTGTGGCACAGCCCTGGAGGCCAGCACTGCCTCATCCAGATGTGCTGACACACACTGTCCACTACCGTGCAAGTCCCGGGAATGCAGCCCACCACAGGTTCTGTGGAGGTCCGTGTGTAACTCAGGTTTTCTCTCTTCACCAAAGGAATATATTCATCGTGTGGGCAGAACAGCCAGAGGCCTAAACGGAAGAGGGCACGACTTGCTCATTTTGCACCCCGAAGAGTTGGGTTTCCTTCGTTACTTGAAGCAATCCAAGGTAAAGATCTTTGCTTGGAAAATCTTCAGTTGGGAGCAGATTGCTCTTGTTGGGCCTCGTTTGCCAGTGCAGACAGCAGTAAGCAGCATTTCTAGATGTGTCCAAGGAGTCATGAGTCACTGCAGTGCTAGGAGGACAATGGTTACAGTGCATAGGTAAGCAGATGAGGTTTCCTGTGGGTCCAGCTGAGGAAATGTGAACAGGAAGAACTCCCCACACAGCTCAGCCCTGGAGCTCTGCATTGCTCAGCGGTGCGTCTCATGTCCCCAGGCTCCCCTCTCCCAGCCGTCCAGCCCTGTTTGAGACCTCCACTCCTTCTAAGCTCCCTCACACCTGATCATCTCCAGCTCCTGCTCCCCTTCCTCCATCTTCTCCACGTCTCTCCATCCTGGTGTCTTTCCCTCTCACCTCACCGCAAGCTGTGGGGTCGCCCTTCACTCTACCTCTTCCTCTTCCTTCTGGCCCTCGTTCGTCAGCTCTGTGTGTTACCTTCACTCTCTCCCTGGCAGTTAGCTCTTTACCATCTCAAGTCTCACTAAAAAAAGAGCTTCAAGGCTAAACCCATTCTCCTACCACCACCTCCAGGGTGGCTACTGCCCTTTGCCTTTCTTCAGTCTGACTTTTGAAAAGTGCTTTGTATCTTCTCCGTTTACTTTCCCCTCCCCCTGATCTCCAGCCCCCCTCATCTGACTTTGACCTCCTCCTGTCCACCAAGTCTGAATTCGTTAGAGGCCAGTGGCCTCTTTTTTGCTAGATCTTATAAACATTTGTCAGGCCTTCTTTTTTCTGACTTTTGCCTCCTCTTTGGCCTCCCTGGTACAGTCTTGCCAAGTAGATTTTCCTCCACTGTGCAGCTAGGTACATTTCCCCAAAATTGCCCTACAGCCTTTGCATGTTTTCTCTAGAATGCCCTTTTCCTGGTTCTCTGGATTGCTCTGGTTTCAGCTAGCTTTTACCTCTTCTGGGAAGCCAGCGCTGATCTCCTGCCCTCCCTCGTGTTCCCCCAGCACAAGGGCTCATCGAGTTCTCATCTTATCACTTACCTGTGTCCCCGGCAAGACTGCACGCTTTCTGAGGCTGGGCCCAGGATGTGGGCTGCATCCCCCCAACCCCCAGCACGCAGCACAGGTCTGGCACTTTCCAGTTATCTAAGAAGTGAAGACTGCTTTCCTTCCTGTAGGAGTTTTTGGCCACAAACCCCAGTCAAGTCACAGGGCAGTGTGCTGTTAGGGCAGCTCTCTTGTCATGGAAGGAAGGGCTAGTGGTCCTTCTGACTGGAAGCTGCAGCCTACTTAACCATGTCGCATCCGTAGAGATCCTTATTGAGAGTAAAAGGCTTCTGAACGTCGATCCCCCCTGGTATACTAATCTTCCTGCTTTTATTTTCTAGGTTCCATTAAGTGAGTTTGAGTTTTCCTGGTCCAAAATTTCTGACATTCAGTCTCAGGTATGCTCTTCGTCCCAGCCTCAGCTTCGTCCCAGCACTGACCGTGTGGTGTTTCAGCAGTGGTCATTGTCCTCCACATCTCCTTTTTCATCAAATGAGAAATTTGGACTGAGTGATCTTTTAGGTTTCTTGCTGTGCTGGTTACCACATTCATGTACTCTCTACCTTGTTCTCGTCAATAACTTCCAAGAACTTTGTCATTATTCTTACTGCAGCTTGATTGCATATATGACAAAGCTTAGAGCAAGTGTTTTTTACAGGATGGTTTTGTTCTAATATGTACACAATCTGCTTTCCTATTTTATTAAAACCAATGTGTCTTTCCATTTCAGCTTGAAAAATTGATTGAAAAGAACTACTTCCTTCATAAGTTAGCCCAGGAAGCATACAAATCGCACATTCGAGCATACGATTCCCACTCTCTGAAACAGATCTTTAATGTGAATAACTTGAATTTGCCTCAGGTTGCTGTCATTTGGTTTCAAGGTGAATCCTTTTGTTGATCTGAGTATCCTTTTCGTTGTTGCTATGAATTCATCCAGGACCTAGGGGACAAGAGCTTGATGGAGAAGCATTTGGGCTTAGTTCCTGGGTTATTTTGTGCTCTGGCTGAAGACTGGAGGCCCAGGTGTTCATCCTGGTCCCCGTCTGCTTGTCTGCGCTAGCACAGAGTAGGCAGGGATTCATTATCCGAGTGGGGATTGCAGAAGGAATGACTTCGGCCTTAAAAAAAGACCAAGGAATTTGACTGGCAAACAGTGGGAGCCAGAGGAAGTCGTAGATTCCGGAGAGAGGCACGGAGGGTAAAATTGCAGAGTTGCGTGTTTAGGAGGCTTCACCGTACGGGGGGGTGTGGAGGAATGGGATGTCCTGACGCTGGAGAGACCACGAGGCCTCCCGAAGTTTTTATCCTCACATGGCCAGTGATGGACGGACTTCATACAAGGAGGGTGCAAGATCAGCAAAAGAAAATAAAACTGAAGTGCTGCCTGAGGTAAAATGCAAAGGGAGTACCTCCAGTTGTTTCTGTTGCAGTTTATAATGTGTGCTTTACTACCACATTTTCAACAGAAGCAGCTGAACCAGCTGAAGTGAGGCCTGTTGGTTAACACCCCGGCGGTACCTCCTAAGGGGACTGGAGGACCAAATCTGGGTCACCATCCCCAGTGTAGGCATCGCGGAAATGTCTGTTGTGATGAATACACGTTGACTCCTGTGAAAGGAGGAACAGCTCCTTGGCTGGGCTAAGCATTCCTGAATCAGCTCCGAGCGGAGGTGAAAGTCATTTGTTTTGACACGGGGTATTTTTTCTTATGTTCCTGTAAACTTGCAGATTTCCTTCTTAAGTCCTTATAAATAATTGTCTTCAGTTTCATTGTGTGGAGAGAAGAATGAATATGACTGTTACACTGGGCTTAAAATCAGACCTGCTAATTTTAGTTCACGGTTACGTGGCCACTCCTGATTTTCTGGAAATTTGCTGCCCAGGCCCGAGTGTGCACGTTTTCGTAGTTCAGGGAGAGGTTGTGGTAGAGGGACAGCAGTGCGCATGCTGGTCTGTTCTCTCATAGATGTCGCGTTGGAGTTCATTATCTGTGTGTTGCATCATTTCCTTAACGTTCACCTTTAGACGTGAACAGCAATGAAGGCAAGCTTAAAAAGGGGGGAGGCGGTGGCGGATTCAGCTACCAGAAAACCAGGAAAGTCGAGAAATCCAAAATCTTCAAGCACATCAGCAGGAAATCGTCGGACAGCAGGCAGTTCTCTCACTGAGGACGCCCTGGCCTGCCTTCCTTCGTGTCCTGAAATGCAGTGTTGTCCTGCTCTCTGCAAGGAGTGTCTGTAACCAGGATTTGGACCGTTCTCATGACGGCAGAATTGGACTTGGGTTGCAAGCACGCAGTGCTGTCTTTCCCACAGCTCTCTTTTCTCTTGGGAATACAAAACAGAGCTCACCTTTTCTTGATTGCCCAGCGGTAAAGCAAGCCTTTTGGTCTTTGTTATGATGCTAGGGTATTTTTAAGTTTCACCCCCCCGCCCCAATTTGTCACTGTTTTACTGTAATTCTTTTGTGCCTTTCCTTCCTGGTGTCTGAAGTCTTGTGGCGTGCATTCCTGTACCAGCCTGCTGTAAAAGGCCGATGACCTAGCATGCTGGTGGCAATGCCGAAAACTGTCTTGGTTTACTCTCTGCTTTTGGCTGTTTCTCGGACCTTAACAATGGTTCTTGACCCCTGCTGCAAATGCCGCCATGCCACAGGGCAGCAAGCTCCGGGGGATGCCTAAGAAGCCACCTTTGGCTAAAGGTGGCATCCATTTTTATATACGCCAGATTTTAAAACCATGAGCATTTCTCAACTTTTTTTAACATCGAGAAATGTGGGTTATTTGTCATAGTTTGAATGAAGCGCCCCTAGCAGTCCTAACATTTGAGAGGGGGCAGAATCGGATGTATTGAGCCTCATTTATACCAATATAGGCGTAATATTCTGTTTTTTATTTGGTAACTTGGCAGAGACTTAAAAAAAAGTAGTCACAAAGAGTGGTGATGCTCCTCATTTGAGTTTGTCTCCAGTGGTTTGGACTGGGCGAGCCCTCCTAACTGCAGTTATTAGAAGGCGGGGCCGACTGTCAGCAGACTCAAGGCCCGGCCAGCCGACGGTGCTGAGCGCACACAATGCTCTTACCTTTTGGAAAAATTACTTCTTCCAGATCCATGAAACAAAAATAGATTCACAGTGAAAACTGGAAATGAATGGAGTTCAGAAAGAGACGATGGTTTACTCAGATAGGTTTTCTTGTTACAGGAGCTCTTAATTTCTAGTATGTTTCAAGTTTGTTTTATTTCTAGTGTATTTTATAACTACAAAGTGCTTATAACATTTTGTAGCAATTCAAAACCAAAGTACTAGCATTGTTTTGCTGTTGTGCCATTCATGTTCATAGACTCCTAAGTCCGCTGAGAACATCAAATTAGAGGAAAGAGGGCGATAAATAGCATTTCAGTCGGAAAAGAAAAGAACGATATTCTGCCCCTGGGCGTGACCACTGTCACCTAGGTGGACCTGTCCTAGGTTTCAGACCTCAGCTGCCGCATTCCTCATGCTTAATTACTGTTTCTCTGTCTAGTAACTTGGTTTTCTTTTTTGTTTCAGAAATAATCATGTTTCAAAAACTAGACTAAAGCAAAAGGAAGAATATTTAATCACTGAACAGAAATAAATACTGTGGATATTTTGGTATTTAACTTTCCAGTGTTTTGTATACATTTTAATTTTTTTATCCAATGAATTCATCCTCTGCCCACTATTTGTAACCAGCTTGTTTCATAACATGTCGTTTTCCTGTCATTAAACAGTTAGACCAGCTTTGTATTTCATTGATTGCTGTGCTTTGCTGACCTTGCTTAGTCAGCCTGGATTTGGGTTCTGGGTACCTGCTTGTGCCCGGCTGGCGCGCTCTGTCTCAGCATGTCCAGTCCCTGTTTGTCTTCCATCGTTGACCTCCACCATGTAAGGCAGTCTCCAGAGATGCTGAGAAAAGTATACAAACAGAGGGTAGAAAGACTCTTCCTCTTACACTAACGGCTTCTTTCAGGTACTTGCTGAGTTCTGTGGGAGATTCTGCTGCAGGATGGTCCGGACTAGGGACATTCAGACCACCAGATGACCAACCTGGCCAGATTGAGCTGTGAGGGAGCCAGTTACTAGAATCAGATACCAGGTTGGGGCAGCACCGTCTGCAAGGTTCATTTGTACAAGGAGAAGGGATCCTTAGGTTCCTGTGCCAAAACACAGCTCTGGTGGCATGTGTGAGGCCATAACCTTGCCACAGGGATTATGTGGCTTCAACTAGGAAGCTTTGGCAGCATGGACTGGGAGCCAAGCAGATCACTACATGCAAATAGGACCCTTCGGGTCTCCTGGGCTGCAAGTGACAAGGCATCGCTGTATCTAAATTTATTTTTGTCTTAACTAGCCAGGTTAGTGTAAGTAAAGCTGAATTCAAGATGTCAAAATTAAAGATAGTGAAAATGAGTGCTCCAAACAGAATGCCTGGATTCAAATTCCAGCTGTGCCTCATATATTTCTGGGCCTGTTAAATGAGTAAAACAAAGGAATAAAACCTCCTTCATAAGGTGGTGAGGATTGAATGAGCTAACGTGTGGAGTGCTTAGGAGCGTCCTGGCACAGGGCAGCCTTACCTGTTAGCTGTCAGCATTAATATGTATGCTGCACGTGCCAAGTGTGCTCCCCGACAGCATCAGGTACAGGGATACATTGTAAGTCCCTAGCCAGTTTGGGCATTTGGGGGTACAAAGATGGGATTTCTGACACTCTGGATTCCCTGGAATTTGAAAATCGGACCCAGGGTTTGGAAAGTGCTCCAATCCTGCAGCAGCTTCCTAAGATGACTGTCAAGTAGACAAATGCAGTTCTCAAGGCTGCTCTGCTGAGTGTGAAGGCGGAAGCAACAGTCGTGCCTTTGGATACCCGTATGCGATGGCTTAGAACTGTGTTACCTGCCAGGAATTATGCAGGGGACACATGCACGTGGCCAAGCTCCTCTTACGGACATGGCTACAGTCTAGAGAAGGTAAAGAGGTCATGAACAGTTGCAGTACTGTTTTCCACATCATGTGATAGATGCAGATTAAATATTCCAGCTACTTCTAACCCTGGAAATTCTGCTTTCTTCTTGGGTTTTGGTGGACTTCAACTGATGAAAAGGTGATGGAATTTTCTCTGCCTATAGAAGACAAGCTTCGCTCGTAGGGAGTGAGTTCCCAAATGCTGATTGTGCCACATGAGAAACACCAAGATTTCTAAAGATTTTCTTGCCCCATTTGCCCACAAGATTCTGATTTAGGCCTGTGGTGGGGCAGGGTAATCTCTGGATGATTCTCACGCACAGCTAGGTTTGGGAACATCCAGTCTAGAATCCATCCACATACAACCTCTTTAGAAACTTTTTAATGTTCTCATCTTGCAAAGTGAAAATGCCCAACACGGGAAATGGTGATAGTGTTTAGTCATCCACAAACTAGGGTGGCCCCGAGGAGACAGACTCCGGGTGTCCAGAGGGAAACAGCTGTGCCTTTGTGGGAAAGCCTCTGTGAAAGAAGCACACTGTCGCACAGTGTAACAACGAGGGTCCCCGTGCCTCCCCCAGGCAGACAGCCTTGAGCTGGCCCAACAGTGTTCCATTCAATTGGAATTCAGTCGACTGGTGTTGACACAGGAGATGAAACCCATCTGCCTTGGCTGCATGCCTTTAAGAAGAAAGCCATTTTCCCCTCTAGGACTCAGTATCATCTGTACATTTAAAGGGGGGTGGGAACTTTTTTAACTGGATGACCACTGTAGTGGACATTTTTGTTTGAGGGCTTCCCAGGGTCCAACCTCTTTCCTGTATTTGGAGACCATGTCCTTTGAGTCCTGGTGGGTCGTCAAGATCACTTCCCTTCAGGAAAGCAGAAGCCGGGGCAGGGCCGTGACCTAGGTTTGATGGATCAAGACATACCTGCCCGACCCTGAATCAGGTACTAATAAAACAAAAGAGCAAAAACAAGTGCAAGCTTCCTCATCCCGCTTCTGGGGCCACAGCGGAGCAGAGTTGGTTCCAGCGGTGCCCTCCAGGCAGCAGGAGCTCTCCAGGCAGATTGATCGTGGGGCCTGACTTTGTGGTCCTGCCCCTACTCCTGCCTGTTTTCCAAGCCTGGTTCTCCAGCCACCGATTATCATTTCAATTAATTCCTTTTCGGTTGAAATCGTTCGGAGTGGCTCTTTGTTGCTCACTACTAAGAAGAAAGATACAGCCCTGAGGGCCCTCTAACATTCAGGGATTCCTAGATTTGGTTTCTCTCCCTCTTTTGGTGGGTACGATGTCCAGGTTGCTTCCCACCGTTCATGCTCTCCTTGCCCGCAGCCTCCCTGCTCCTGAGCACAGGGAAAGTGGTTGCTTCAGAGCAAAGCCAGGACTTGAAAACAAGAAAGGCAATGGTGTGTCAAAAAACGAACAATTGGTAAGCTCACCACCTCCAGGAACAGATCATGGAGAAGCTGGTGTGGATCTGGAGGTATGGGAGGCAGTAAAAAGTGGGACCTTGGGCATTGCGCAGAGCTTTGTGCGGAGGAGCGGCCCGGGGAAAAGGCAGGGCTGACAGCCACGGGACCTTCTGGGCAGCAGTTTCTGGAGTGAGGCTGAACTTGGTGTGAATCTCGGCTGCCCTACTTACTGTGAGGCTTTGAACTAGTTACTTCCCTTTCTGTGCCACAGTTTCCTCATCTATAGACAGGGAGGAAGTAATGCTATCTGCAGGATTAAATGCAATAACGCACGGGAAGCATTTAGCACGGAATCCAACGGTCAGCTCTTAGAAATGACAACTATTGATACTGCTACTCAGCGAGCTCTTGAGCGGAGGAGACCTGCTGGACCACATCCGGAAGAGCGGCCCCATGGCGGAGGACGAGGCCAGAGGGAAGTTTCGGCAGCTCGCCTCGGCCCTGGAGTACTGCCACCGGAAGGGCGTGGTGCACCGGGACCTGCGGCTGGAGCACGTCCTTCTGGACGGCGAGGGCAACGTGAAGCTGTCGGGCTTCGGCAGCAGCGCCGTGTTCCTGGGCCAGGAGCTGAGCACCCAGTGCGGGAGCCCCTGGTACGCGGCCCCGGAGACCTTGCAGGGCCGAGCCTACGCCGGGCCCCCGGCGGACGTGTGGAGCCTGGGCGTGGTGCTGTTCTTCCTGCTCACCGGGGCCCCGCCGTTCTGGGGGTGTGACCTGGCGACGGTGCGCAGGCGGGTGCTGAGTGGGAGGTTCCCGCTGCCGATGTTCCTGTCCTGGGAGTGCAGGAACCTCCTCGGCAAAATGCTCGCCTTCGACCCACGAAAGAGAATAACTCTCAAGAAAATCCTGAAGGACCGCTGGGTGAATATGGGGCAAGAGAAACTGCGGCCCTACAAGGAGCTGCCCTTTGACACCAAGGACCCCTGGATAACGAAAGTAATGGTGAGCATGGGTTTCAGCGAGACAGAAGATTCTTTACAACACAGGAGATACCATGCCATCACGGCCACATACTTGATACTCAGCAGCAAGAAACCGCAGATGGAGGGCCACGCCATCGTGGTAAGACCTTGTGTGCCCCCCATGGACCCCAGCAGCCGCAGCTCCTCCCTCACCTACTCGGTGCAGCTGAAGGCATCTGTATGCGCAGGAAGACGCCATCACACCAAACTCGGCTTACTTGCCTGGCTCTGCAGGGCCGAAAACCAGCATCAGCTGCCTGAGGGGAACCCGGAGTCAGAGCTGAAGGGACCGAGCCTGCGAGTCTGCTACCCGGCTTGGAGTCCAGGACCGCCACCGCCAGCCCAACCCCCCTGCGTGGCCCTGGGGCCTTCCCCTCCACCCACAGCACCAGCAACATTCGAAGTGGCCCAGAGGTCACCTGCTGTGGCAACCTCCTCCATGCTGGGCAGCATGAGGGGAGCAGCCCAACCTCTCCCTCTGACCCTGCCCACGGCCTGTGGCAGGCCGCTGGGAGCTTCTTAAAGTTCCTGAGAGGCTGCTATTGTTGCCTGAACCCCAAGAAAATAAATCCTAATTTCAAGTAAAATAGTACACTTGTAACAGATATTTGTTCTTCATTTGTTTACGCTAAGTGTCTGCAAAATATCTTG